AGGCCTCAACATCAATCCAGCCACACTGAACCTCTTGGAAGAGAAAGTAGGAGGTACCCTTGAACAAATTGGTACAGGAGACTGCTTCCTGAATATAATTCCAGACTGGTACAGACACTGAGATCGACAATTAATAAATGGGACTTCCTCAGTCTTAGAAGCTTCTGTAAGGCAAAGTACACAGTTGAGAAGACCAAACAGCAGCTACAGACTTGGAAAAGATCTTCAACAATACTACATCTGACAGAGGGCTGATCTCCAAAATATATTAATAACTCAAGAAACTAATCAACAAAACACCAAATAACCCTATTAAAAATGGGATACAGAACTGAATAGAGAACTCTCAAGAGGAAATCAAAAAGGCTGAAAGACATTTAAGAAAGTGCTCAACATCCTTAGCTATCACGGAAATGGAAATCAAAACAACTCTGAGATACCATCTTACTACTGCCAGAATGGCTAAAATTAGACACACCAATGTCAACTTATGCTGGAGAGGATGTGGAGAAAGGGAAAATCTTGTCCACTGCTGGTGAGAGTGCAAACTTGTACAGCCATTTTGGAGATCAGTATGGCTGTTTCTCAGGAAAATGGGAATCAGTCTACCACAGGACCCGTAAATCCCCCCCCCTCTTAGGTATATACCCAAATGATCCACATCCATGCAACAAAGACATGTGCTCAAGTATGTTTTAGCAGTATTATTTGTAATAGCAAGAACCTGGAAGCAACCTAGATGCCCCTCAATTGAAGAATGGATAAAGAAGATGTGGCACATTTACACAATGGAATACTACTCTGCAGGAAAAGAAAAAACAATGTAATCTTGAAATTCATAGGCAAGTGGGTGGAACTTGAAGAAACCATCCTGAATGAGGTAACCCAGTCACAAAAAGAGGAACATGTACTTGCTTATATATGGATTCTAGATGTAGAGCAAAGGATCACTAGCCTATAATTCACACCGCCAGAGAAACTAGGATACAAGGAGGATTCTAAGAGATTCATATAAGGTCCCTCACAGAAGAGGAAAGGGACAAAATCTCCAGAGCACATGGGGAGTGGGAAAAGGCAGTGAGTGGAGAGGGAACTAGGAGAAAGAGAAGGGGAGGAGAGGAAAGCACATGGGACTAGGAAGATTGAATCAGGAGAGAGAGAAAAAGAGAGAGAGAGAGAGAGAGAGAGAGAGAGAGAGAGAGAGAGAGAAAGAGAGAGAGAGAGAGAATAAAAGAGGGAGCCATTATAGGTTTGAGGAGAAACCTGAACCTAGAGAAATGTCTGGAGACCTACAAGACTGACCCCAACTAACAATTTGAGCAACAGTGGAAAGGCTACCATAAATGGCCTTCCCTGATAATGAGATTGACGACTATCTTATCCACCATCATGGAGCCCTCATCTAGTAGCTGATGGCAACAGAAGCAAACACCCACAATGAAACTGAGCTGAACTGGAATCCAGATGCAGAGAGGGAGGACAAGACCAGGCTGCAGAAGCACATAGAGACAGCTGACCTGATCAATGAGGAGCCAATGGGCCCCCAGACTGTAGCTGGGAATCCAGCACGGACTGACTGAGACCTCCTGAACATGGGTCTCAGCTAGAAGGCCTAGGCAGTCTATGGGTTCTCAAACAGTGGAACCAGGATATTCCTGGTACATAAAAGTACTCTGGGGGCACATCCCCCATGGAGGTATCCTTCCTTAAGCTAGTCACAGGAGAGATGTCCAAATGACTTTACAGATATAGATGACCCCTCCTGGAAGGCATCACCTTACATTTGGAGTTGGGGGAGATGGGAGGGGAGGGTAGTTGTGGGGCATGGTAGTGTGGGAGAGAGGGGAAGAGGAAGGGAGGGAGAGGGAAATAAGAGCGATATGTAAAATAAAATACATTAATATAAAAAAGGAAAAACAAACAAAATCCCAAGAACATAAAATGATAAAACAACCAGTCTTGAATTGAGTTTCTTATGTCAATAATTTGCTTGTTTGCACACAATTTGAAGTCACTAGTCATTTTACAAAAGGAGTTTTAAATTCTCTGTTCACTTCTTTCTTCTTATATTTAGATTTCACAAAAATTAAGGAGTTATGATCTTATGGGTACTCCCTTGCCTTTTCATGTTTCTTGTGATTTATAGATTTACTGTTATGGGTATGTCTTCAATTTCTTAAAAGGAACCTTTTCAGTAGCCTTCTTCATGGCTCATTCCCCACTACCACCCACTAATGAGAAGACAAATGGCTAGAACACTAACCTAAAACAGATGAGAAATATACTTGAATGACACTAATATACCACCAATGACCAGCAATGACCAGAAAAGGACAAAAATAATGTATAAGCTATTATGTTAAAAAGTTAGGGTAAATGTAAAAGTAGCAAGTTATTGAAATCACAAGCGGCTTGCAAAGGCGAAAAAGAAAAGAGGCAAAGTTAAATGAAAAAAAGGAAAATGAATGCAGAAATAAGCTGTGAAGTGGGGAGGGAGAAGTGAGAGTTTAAATAATTGTGATTGCCCAATAAAGGAAAAGGGTATAAGCAAATTAAATGTGAGAATACAAGAGAAAAGCATTTTTAAGCTATAGTTAAAAAAAGGAAAACTACAAGGCCCCAAACACACACAAGCAAAATAAAACAACCAAGACAAAATATTGGACAGTTTCTTCCTTGTTCTCTAATATGTGAAAGGCAGTGTGTAGCTGAAAGTGGAGTCATCTGTCTTTCCTAAAATTAGGTCAGTGTTGAGCCTGCACTAGCCACGTGTCAACATGCTCCAAGATGTCTTCACTTTAGGATCATTGCTTTTATTGCGTACCAGGAGCTTTTGTGGCCACAGTTAGCATTGTACTTGTAGGCCAGGTAAATTCTTCCATGTTCTAGAAATTCCTTAGTCTGAACAACCTGACACAGCTATTGTCTAAGTCAAATAGTGTTCCCAAGTGTTTTGAGGACTAAGGAAGACAGAGCACTGACACATAATCCAAAGGACTAGTCTTAGTGCTTTCAAATCCCATTAAAAATTAATTGTCCGCTATGAGAGAGGAGGCTGCAGAAGGTAAGGGCTGAGTTGTGGCTATCCTCCAGCCTGTCAACAGATAAGTCCTATGCCTACATGTGGCTCTAAGAGTTGGAGTATGTGCTAACCTCAGGTGTAGGTCTGCTAGTCTCTACTATTTAGCTTCAGATTTGGCGATCTACCAGCCACAGAAGACTAAACCATCATAACCTTCACTGTTGCAATCTTCTGCTGTCTGAACTTCTCAGAGGGCCCAGCCCTTCATAATTGCTTCCACATCTCTCATTCAAGATCTGGGACAGGAATTGTAATTGTTCCCTACTGGCCACTTTTCTGCTTTCCTATTACTTACTTTGTAATTTCTAATGTTCTTCTAATCGTTCTCTCTCTGAAATAGAATCTTTATTATCCTGATCCTCATTTGTGTCATAGAAATGCACCCTTTAATTTAGTATCTCACCTGTTTTTCTTCATCTCTTTCCCCATTATTTTCTGTGGTTCAAGGGGTGAACCTAGGGTCTTGTGGAAGTTAAGCAATAGCCTTACCCCTTCCCCCCTTTTTTTGGTTGAAGAGGGTAACCCATGCTGAGCTCCAATTTGCAAGCTTCCTGTCCCAATCTCCAGGATATTTACTAGATTACATCTGACTTCCTAGGCTTTTCAATGACAAAAGTATTACCAAAATAATGTAAATTCTTTTAGACAAATGAGAAAGATATAATGTGAACTCATCTTAATATTGTTTGGCAGCCTCGGGAAGTTTTTTGTTAAAAACAGTATCTGTGAAAACACCATCTCTGCCACATTAGTCCCTGCCATTCTTCCATGCCATTTCTCATTAATAATGGTTTCTATCTTATTGGTTCCTTGGATTAATTCTGTAAATATATTTCTCTATTTGAAGAAAACAAACACAATCCTTTCCTCACCTCCATAGTCTTATCTATTTTCTTTTGATTTTGCAACAAAACTCCTTATGTGAATGTACTATGGAAACCACTTTTTCTCTCAGAAATTTTTGGGTTGTGTACACAAAGAAATCCTGAAATAGCTCTATACATTACAGGACATAGTCTACTAGTTTCAATGTTTATTCTTGTTTTAGCCATTGTCCCATGGCTGTGAAGAGACACCATGACCGTGGCAACGTTTATAAAGGAAAGCATTTAACAGGGCCTGGCTTACAGATTCAGAGGTTTAATCTACTGTCATCATGCTGGAAATCCTGGTGGCACACAAAGAAGGAGCTGAGAGTTTGACATCTGGGTCCATAGACACAGGGAGAGATACTGGGCCTGCTTTGGACTTTAGAAAGCCCAAAGCCCTCACTTAGTGATACACTTCCTTCAACAAGCCACACTTCTAAATCCTTTCGACCACTACCCGGTGACCAAGCATTCAAATATATGAGCCTATGGGGACCATTCTCTTTCAAATTACCACAATTTTTGATTTGACAATTTATTATTCTTATTAGAGTGACATTTTTCATTTTTTCCTTAACTAGATTCTGAATCACAGACCACAGACATTCTTTCAGGTCAGCAACTTTAAAATAAACTCCCTTATACTTTAAAACAAGAATATAATTTCAGAAGTATCTGTTCTTTCAGCTTCTGCTTCTTTAGCTACTATACAATTTGCCCTGCAACATTTTTTTTTGTCATATTACAGTGAATGACCCCTTTCCATGAAAAAGTAAGTTTTTAGATTAAGAAATATTATAGAGTCCTTCTTTACCCAAATAAAACACACACACACACTTTCTCTCTCTCTCTCTCTCTCTCTCTCTCTCTCTCTCTCACACACACACACACACACACACACACACATGCATTTGCACGTACACGCGTGCATGGGAAAAAAAGAGGACAAAAATTCTCTACTAAGAAAATGGAGACAAAGTATATTAATACAAACCTAACCCAACAAAATACAATTCATCATTCCATATAACCTGTTCAGTGATACTCACCCTTTGGATACTCCAGCTCTGTCATTAACAATCTTCACTTCTTTTACAGACCCATACTGGGAAAAAAATTTTCTTAAATCATTTTCATTTGTCTAATGAAATAAAAAGAAAATATTAATAAACATTTTAATCAATAAAAGATGAAAGAATTCCAATGCTCGTTGTGGAGACACAAAAAACATAGAAAACAAGTTACACATTAAAGAATAGGCAAAATCATTGCTAATAAAATCTATGTATTCTGCTTCACATACTAGCTAGACAGCTACTTTAAACTGAATTATTCTAAAACTGCAAAGATTGCTAACTGTGTAAGGGAATCTTTTAGTGACTTTTAAGAATGCTAACTAGGATTATGTACACTATAGGCTGCACTACTACTGGCTCCAGTATTTGGGGAGGCCAGCAATTGCAGCAGTGAAAGTAGGTCCCAATGGCCCAATCCAGTCATTTATGGTAATCAACAGTCTTTGGGAAGACTCAGGCCTTAGGAAAGGAATATATATTTCCCTAATATTTGAATTTGCCATAATAAGTTACAAAGTGACTATAATATTTCAAATTATAAGACATTTTATCTGTACTCAACACACATTTTAGCTAACTACAGACATTATGATGATACTACAGACATGATAATCATCCGATAAACTTAGTATAATAGACACAATGTTCAAAATGTGTAAACAGATGGTTTGGGAATATCTGCTTTTACTAAAATAGATAAGATAATGAAGAGCTATTCCCAGAGTATTTATGGTGAATTCATGGCAATTATTTTTGGGTTCAGTTGCAAATATTTTCTTGTTAGTGTAACTTTAAGTTTACCTGAAGGAGAACCAAAAGACGTCTTAGAGCACAGCCACTCGTTTTGACTTGAACTCTTACCTCACTTACTTAAGTACACGATCTGTTATTTTGGATAATAACTTTAACCCTGTTAAATTGGACAATGACAAACACTAAATCTAAGAATAAGTCAATTACCTTTATTTTAGAATGGAATTTCTAAAACTGGAATCAATGCTAGAATGAGAACTGTTATTGGAATTTAGACAAGTTAATCCACACTATTTTCTGGAGGGGGAATCCCTTCCTACCTTAGCCACTAACTCAGTCACTAACTTGTAGAGTAAGGGGAATGTCTGCAGGGGGACAGTCCATAAAAGCCTGACACTGTTGACTACTATAGGAAATTATTTTGTGGTTTTGAAAAAGATGTCTCAAGAGAAAGAATTCTGTTAAAACGGCGGCTGATTAGAAACAATAATCACTAAGATTCATATTGCCCTTGATGTGTTTTAGTGACTTACAGGAAGATGTTCAGATTTGTTAAATAGTTATTTTAAAAGTTCACTGAGATGTTTAATATGAATGAATTCTAAGCATGAATACCTGTACTTTCCATAGGTACAGAAAAATCTTTCCAAAGGTAAGTATTTTATACAGCATATTTATTTATAGTGAAACAATCACATATTAAGAATCATTATTTTGACAAGTACACTAGGCACAGCATTTTTCTTAAGTAAAAGAAAAAGTACTTTTAACTAAATTGTGATAGTGCATATGAAAATAAGGTAGGTATCACAAATCACAAATCATGGCACCTTTTATTACAAAAGGCATCCATCCTTATAATTTCTAATATGTAAACTTAGAAATGATATTATAAATCCATTTGGAAGTGTGTGTGTGTGTGTGTGTGTGTGTGTGTGTGTGTGTGTGTGTATTTGTGTATTTGTATGTTTAGTGCCTCCACAAGCTAGGTAAACCTCTACCACCAAGTTATATCCACTCCTCAAGTAAGGATATGTGATTATACCTTTCTTTTACATATCTATCACTACTTCGTATACAGGATTACTGAAAATCATTTCAACCATGCTTTTCTGAAAGAGTGAAACAATTGATGAGCTGATATAGCATGCTTTTGTACAGATTCTCTTTCTGGACCACAAGGTCTTTTAAATGAACAGATCAGAAATGCTATCAAAGAAAGCTATTTGTATTAAATTGAAGTCTAGAACATGGATTTAAAATGCCAGATAAAAGTTAGGAAAAAGATACAGGGTTTAGGGCTAGAGAGATGGCTCAGGAATTAAGAGCACTGGTAACTCTTCCAGTGGTCCTGAGTTCAATTCCAGTAACCACATGGTGGCTTACAACCATCTATAATGGGATCTGATGCCCTCTTCTGGCATGCAGAACCATATACATAAACCATATACATAAAATAAATTTCATATATATATAATATATGGTTTAGAAGACTAAAATCTTTAGATTAAGTTTTCATTTGAAAATTGAAATTATCTAGGTAACGAACATCATATAAGAAAGCATAACTGAAGTATGCTGAGAAAGGAAGAATACTGAACAATGAGTGAGAAAAACAGACTACTTAAAAAGAAAGAGGGGAAAAGTAGATTTCCAACAGTACTGCCAAGGGGCAGACAGCAATGAAAGAACCCTCAATTTCCTTGTGTGAGACTGGACAAGAATACACACATAAATTAACCTACACGATCATTGAAACGGTTATTTATATTTAATCCATGACAATGTAAAACCTATTAACTAATATGTAAATGTGATTTTTATGTCAGATAAGGAAGCAACTGCTGAAAAATGAAATATTCAATTGCAAATAAAAACAAAACATCTTTTCTTTCCCTCCCACCATGTTGCACCCACAAATATATACCTTAAAGTCAATTCCTCCTACGAAGATGCGGTTAGGGATCACGGTTCCATATCTTGGGGCACTTGTTGGGTTATTCAAAGGCACAGGTGACACAGGATTAGGGGATGGAGATAATGAATCTGTTTGTGTCTGATTTGTTGTTTGCTGTAAAATAAAGTCATTTAAACCTTTGAGCATGGGGCAGGGCCATCAAAATAGTCATTTAGGTAAAATGTCATGTACTTGACTTGAACTTTATTCCAAAATTACCAAGACTAAATTAGACTTCATAGCTTTGGGGGGAAATAAAAATTAAATGAATTACTTTACTCTGGAGAATTGCTTACTATTAAATGTACTGCTCAAATTTACTTCCAATAATTATGAGGAATGCGATTTGTTAAGGAAGAACATTAAATAAGCCGGCTGTGGTGATGCACACCTTTAATCCCAGCACTCAGGAGGCAGAGGCAGGAGGATCTCTGTGATTTTGAGGCCAGCCTGGTCTACAAAGTGAGTTCCAGGACAGCCAGGGCTATTCAGAATAACTGTGTCTCACAAAAAACAAACACCAAATAAAGCATTAAATTCATAAAGAAGTGAGAGAGAGAAAGAAAAGATGCTCTGGCCAGCCATTGTGTCTAGCAGTGAAAAGCTGGCCTGGCACTCACAGCCAGCAGGCTGTTCTCTTGTTAAAAGAGATCAACACTAGATGAAGTCATTAAATTACAATGTACCAAGAGGAAAAGAAGCATTCTTTAATCATGCCTGAATACTGATAAAAAACAAAAACACTGTCTACACTATGAGAATTACAACCATGTCTCCTTTACCAATTTACCTTTTAAGTAATAATTTGCACAACTATAGAAATATTCCCATTTCCTCACAACATGCACTCACAACAAGCCCTTCTTCCTGAAATCTTGTCTAAAACTCTCAAACCTACATGGTATAAATCAAGTTCTTAACACCTGAGAGGACCCAAGTGTACTTTCTTCCTAGTTCCAATGACTTCACAGACACAACTCAATTACAGACATGTTCTTGGTAGTCGTAGGCTAAGGAGCACTGACAAGTTAATAAATTTGCACAATTTGACCTGGAAGTCAAAACTTTAAGTGCATGTATCCTCTTGAAAATTAGACTGATCTTTAAGAAAATGACATACCTAGCTTGGTGAAGTGGGGGAGGCAGAAGCAGGCAGATTTCTGTGACTTCAAGGCCAGCCTGGTCTGCATAGTTCTAGGCCTGCAAGGGCTAATCGGTGAAAAAATTTACATACCTAAACACTTAACTATATATAGATTTACATGATAAAGACTTGAGCTCAGTATGTATCCATTATGTTCATACTTCTAAACTGGCTTATCAATATCAATGTATAAAACTTTGCATATTGGCAACCAAACAGTGAAAAAAATTAAGAAACACGTTAAAAAACTATTATTTCTTAGCCAGGTGATGGTGGCACACACCTTTAATCCCAGCAGAGGCAGGTGGATCTCTGTGAGTTCAAGGTCAGCCTGGTCTACAGAGCTAGTTCCAGGAAAGCCTCCAAAGCCACAAAGAAACCCTGTCCAGAAAAACAAAAACAAAACAAAGCAAAACAAACAAGACAAAACAAAATAACAACAAAATATCTATTATTTCCTTCTGAGACTTTTAAGACAGTCTAGCATATCAACTTCTTCAAAAATACTAAAGTTCATAATTTGCTGAGAAACATTGAAGTTTTAATTTAGATGGTAGAGTTGTCCTTTTCTATATTTCATTTTATTGGCCAACCAAACCACTACTTTAGATGTTTCTATGATTAAAATATGAAAAGGCAAATTCCATGTCCTCATGAATATTATATCATAGTACAAAGTATCAGCTAACTATAATATATGGTATATTAGGAAATGGAAATAAACAGAGATGGACAGTAATATGTAATAGTAACAGAAACAATAGTTATTTCTGTTTCAACAAAGGAAATCTCTAATTGTAAATAGTACCAATGATATTCTAGAAAATATACTACCAGAGAAAATCTTCTAGCATCAACAGATATAACTTTGTCTCTTTGCCAACTAATTTATAGCAGAGAACTTGTTAAATAATAATTAAAAAGTTCAGAAAATTCTGTAAAAACTACAGTTTGTCCTCACATTTAAATAAGAAGACAAATTCCATCCTTTTTCATGAGAGGTGCATGAAAACAGTCCCAATGAAGAGACTCCAGGCAACTCACCTAGGAAAAATTTATTTATATTTTAGACAACCAATTCATTTCATCCCTTTGTTTTAAAGGCTTCTATCCTGTTGTGAATGTTAACTGCTTTTTTATTATTTATCACCTGCTAATATATATATTTACCTGTCACTTTGCACTATGCTACAATATTCATGAAGGCAGAAGGTTATACACACACACACACACACACACACACACACACACACACACATATTGCAACGTGTAAACCAGAAACATGACATAACAAGTGTTCAATGAGTATCTGGTGAATGTATGAACAAATAGACATTTGTTCCAGGAGAAATCTGCGTAGCATGTGCTGAACATTTGGATATGGACCTTAGTACCAGTCATATTCTAGAACACTTGTACTGTTCGCAGCTACAAGGCTTGGGCAGAGGTAATATCTAAGTTCCTTAGAGATTAGCCGTGGCTCAAATACCAGGAACCTCTAATTGTCAACCGTTTGAAAGCATGGAGGCAGCGGCTGCTCCCCAGCTGTTAGTGCGGGCTCCTCTGCTTCGTTGTAAAGGGTGGCCACTAAGAAGTTTATTAGAGTAATATGGCCTCACTGCCTCCTTCTCTGGGACTTAAAAAACAAAACCAAAACCAAAACCAAAAAACCCTAGAAACGGTCCATCTTTGCAAGGACAAAAGGGAAGAGGTGGGCTAACCGTCGCCGTCACCGCCTCGGTGCTCCTTCCCCTCTGGGGCCAGCAGGTGGAGGCGATGGGGGAAATGGCCGAACTGACAACTTCGTCGGGTTCTCTCGGGTCATCGTGAACTGGGGCACCGACGCGAGGGTCTCCCCCCTCCCCACCAAAGTGCGGGAGGGAAAAGAAGGCGAGCCAGCGAGAAATTTTGCCAGGCAAACCCGCCAGCAGCGGTGGCGGGAACCCTCAACGGCACCGACCACGCGCAGGCCGCCTCGTGCGCAGCGGGCCGGGGCCCTGCGCTGGCGCCCGCTGATTGGCTGCCGGCCGGCACGGGGCGGGGCGCGGCGGCACGTTACCAGGTTACCGGGCAGCGCTGGGGCCCGTAGGCCCCAGGCCGGGCCCAGGCCTGACCCGGGCTGTGCGCGTAGCAGCGGCTTTCCCTGGCGGGGCGGGGCGGGGCAGGGCAGGGCAGGGCGGGGTGTCGACCGCCACCCACCTGGTGGCCGCCGGCGACGACGAGGATGTGTCCTCGGAAGCGCGGGCGTCGAAGGCGCCGCAGTTTGGGCGGGAGAGTGTCTTAAGGCTTCTGCTCGCTTGTTGGCCACGGAGGGCAGAGCCTGCCCGCTGTCCCCGGCCGTTCCCCAGCCCCATTCTCACACACCCGACGGGTCGCCCTTAGCAGCGGGGGCCGCACCGCCTTCCTCCCCAACCCAACAGACAGCGTTTCGGCTCCGGCTCCGAAGCACACCCTTCCAGACCCTCCGAGGCCGCGCCACGCCGCGCAGGGCCCAGACCCCGGCCGGCACTCACCGCCCGGGACTCGGTCTCCATCTTTCCTCTCCACTCGGTAGAGAGGCAGGAGGCGCGGCAACTTCAAGTTGGAAGGCGCGTTCGGAGGAAGCGAGCCGGCGCGGCTCCCGTCGGGGACGCGCTCCCCCTGGCGGCGGCGGCGGGGGCTGCAGCAGCGCGGCCGGGCGAGCTGGTGGGGGGGGGGCGTGGGAGGGGGGCTGTGCGGAGGAGGCGCTGTGCGCAGGTCCTGGGGACGCTCGGCGTGGGACTGCGTAGTGCGACGAGCGGCGTGGGACTGCGCGTACTTTGAGGGGCGGCGTGGAACTGTGCACACTGCGAGGGGCAGCATGGCACGGGGTGGGAGGACAGCCTGGGACGGCGCACACTGCGAGGGATGCTCTCACCTCCCAAGCCAGGTGCACCTTGGAAGCCAAGAGCTGCCAGCAGCACGCTGTCGCTGTCCAAGCTCTGGAAAGCTGATCTCAGCCCTCTATTCCAGCATGGCCCATGTGGACTTCCGAAAGCTGGTTCGAGGACAGGAAGACAGTTTCCATGTGCAAACCTTGCTCCCACTCCCAGCGTCACATGCAGAAGCTGTGGATGCAGTACCCGATGTTGCTGCCACTCACCCCTGAGAACAGGAGGGGCTAATACCTTTAATCCCAGCACTGGGGAGGCGGAGGCAAGGGGATCTCTGAGTTAGAGGCCAGCTTGGTCTACAAAGCAAGTGTTCCACGACAGTTAAGGACTACAGAAGGAGGGCCTGCCTGTCTTACCCCCTTTCCTGTCCCAGTCTAAACCCCTGCCCAGAGAGAGAGAGAGAGAGAGAGAGAGAGAGAGAGAGAGAGAGAGAGAGAGAGAGAGAGAGCAAAAGAGTTCCTGAAGAGAACCAGCCTCATTAGACTTGGCCCCATAGCTTTGGGATCTCCTTGGAAGGACTGCTTTGTGAGGACTACCTTTAAAAGGTTCCCGAGAGCCCATCTTGACCCTTAAGTGGTATGTAATCCCAGTTAGATAAACTCTTTAATAAAGACAACCATTATTATAAACGACTATGCATGATGGACTCATTTTGTTTCAGGCACAACGCTGTATTGTCATTTCTCACACCAATTCTTCCAGTAGATTCACTTGTTGCGTCACAGGTGAATAAACAGGTAGACCAGTACTTTGGTCAATGTCTAAAGCTACAGCAAATTTATCCCTAGCATTCTGCAACTTCAGTCCTTTATCTTAAAAGATCAGCCATGTTTTTAAGCCATCACCATCAGCAAGTGTTAAAAGTTACATCTATGATAACCTGCGTACTATGTGCTTCTAAAAAGAGGCACTTAACCACAGAAGGTATTTGGTTTGGTATAATGAACAAAATCGAAGGAACAGTGACTGTGTCCCAAGGACTGTACTAGTGTTAGGGATAATACTGCACTCCTTCGTTCAGTTTCTCTTTTACTTTTTAATCCAACAAGAACAACTTAAATCACACAAAATTATATTGTAAGCATTGTGGCAGCTCAGATGGAATGGGATGGGCAGGGATTCTGGCACTCAGGAGCCAAGGAATACTGAGTATTACAGCTCAGATGGACAGGGATTCTGGCAATCAGGAGCCAAGGAATACCACAGGTCAAAGTAAGCATAGCAGCTTACACCCTGCTTCAGGGAAAGGCTTCCCCAGTGTATCAACTCTGTTCTGGTAGGAGAGGGCTTCCCCAGCTCCAGAGAATGGCTTCTTCTCAATGTAACAGCTCTGCTCTGTCAGGAGAGGGTTTCCCCAGGGAAGTATAACAACTCTGCTTTGCCAGGGGAAGGTTTCCCTACTCTGCCCAGGTTCATTTCTGCTCTGGTGAAAGAAGGTCTCACCCAAACCTCATTGGAGAGATTTATTGGGAGGGAAGAATCCTGGAGAGTGGGTACCCTCTGCCAGATATAGCCTTAAAAAGTAACTACTTTTAGTAAGCAGGAAAAAAGAAAAGGAAGAAAGAAAAGATGGGCAGAAAAGAAAAGACGTTAGCTCATCATCTTTTCTTTCTTTAGTTCTGCTGAGAGTGTGTTTCTATGGCTGGCCCTTTCCACCAACATACCTGATTCAGCAAATGCAGATAGATTTGAGACATGGTCTTCCCTACAACCCACAAGGTCAAGGCATTGTTGAACGAGCTCACCGAACTTTGAAGGAATGCTTAATAAAACAAAAAGGGGGAATAGGCCAAGGCCGCACCCCCAAAGAGAGAATATCTCTAGCTCTACTGACTCTTAATTTTTTCAATTGGATGTGGATGGGCGCTCAGCTGATGATCGCCATCACAGTGTCTTCCCCATTGATAAGAGATTTGTAAAATGGAAAGATGTCATTTCTGGACTATGGAAGGGTCCCGGCCCAGTGTTATCCTGGGCGAGAGGGTCTGTTTGTGTTTACTCACAGGATCAGTCAGAACCTCTGTGGATTCCTGAAAGACTGACCAGGAGAGTTCCTGCCTCTGAAGATGGCAAGGCACCTGATGCTGACAATCATGATGGTGGTACTGGTCAACAAGATGGAAACGGGTCCATGATGTGGGATCCTGTCGGTGTTTCCTAAACCTATGCCAATTAGGCATTCTGCCCAAGTTTCCCCCAGATTTTTTAGTAGCAATTTAAGTTTAAATTTACCTTTTTTGCCTTTAGATAAGGATATTAGTCCTGTAGAGGGAAATGTTAGTTTTGTCTTGGGAGGGATGCTTATCCTAGTCAGTCTCATTGCTTTATGGTGTATCTGCAGCATGAGGGTTACACAGCAGAGAAGTAATGCCATGATTGCACAAGCCTTCGCAGCCCTGGAGGCAGGGCAGTCACCTCAGGCTTGGTTAAGTGTGTTAAAAGGCTAAGCAGTCATCACGCTCAGGATGCGAGACGTAGTACTGCACTTGAGGCCAGCTATTAGCGGCTTCATGGAGGGCAAGTCTGATTGCATATGGGTTGGTATCGTAATCCCATCTCTGAGAAAAGATATCGGACGGGTGTGGCACCAGCTTGGCTGATAACTGGGCATGGGGGGCCATTACAATGTCCCTTGTTCATCAGAGATCAGACCTCTACCCTTGCCTGTTGTGTTTTAAACAAAAAAGGGGGAACTGTGTGATGGGAGATGTCATTCTGTATATGCTTCTCATACTGGTTAATGAATAAAGCACTGTTGGCCAATAGGAAAGTAAGATAGGAGGGACTAGGAGACAAGGAGGAAAGAGGAAGTAGTAAGGAGGAGTCAAGATGGAGAGTCAGGAGAAAGCAGAATGCCGGCCGGGTTCCCGGTAAGAGAAATACATAGATCAGCAGAAATGGGTTAATACTTAAGACAGAGCTAGCCGATAAGAAACTAGTACCTGGCCAACAGTATAATATCAAATACAGAGTCTCTGTGCATTATTTGGGGCTGGCTCGGCAGCGGGACAAGACTGGTGGCGGACGGTAAAACCATACTTCTTACAACTGTGGGAAGCCACAGCATTAAGGTGGTGCCTGGCTGGATGCCAGGTAGTTCGAGCTTAGCTGTAAACAAGCCTTATTTGGAAGTGCTTGATGGATATGGTGTGCTTCCTCCTTCTGTGGCCTATCTGGGATCGCCAGGTGGCATGAGCTGATTGGGCAGTGAGCACACATTTAAGGACTTGCTGGGGCTGGGAGGAGCAGAAGCTGATGTACAAGGTTCCTGAATAAACTGCTTGAAGAAGAATCATGGTGGTGTTTCCTTGCTGGCCGAGGTAGACATGACAAGGAGGCACTTGAGTTCAGATCCCCTGAGTTATATAGCTAGATCCTGCTGAGAGAGGAAAGGGGGGCAAGGAGAGAGGCAGAAAATGCCTGCTGCCCAGCACAAGGTAGGAACACAAGAATTACTTGTAGCAGAAAGTAAAGAACCGGTGACCACTCTCCCCCTGTGCACTTTACCCATAATCCCCATCTCTTGGCCTTTTCTACTTCAGTCATGGGCTCACAGCTGGGCTATAACTCCTTGTTGGTAAGGTGAGACCAGACACCACCCTTCTTGTCCACAGCTCCTGGAAGTTTCTTAAGGCTATATCTTACTACAAAGAAAAAATGTCTAGTCGTGAGATATAAAAAGAGTTGGCTTTTTTCCCCCATAAGATAAAAACTGGGAGAGTTAGGACTTGAGAAAATATAGGCCTGGCAAGACAGCAGCTGTCGCAAACCACTGTAACACTTTTCTGGACTGAGAGTGAGGAATAGCTTATATTTCCAGAGAGCCATTTTCCCCTCTGTCTCCTCCAGTGAGAGGATAAGATGTAAAATTTGATTGATTTATCCAGAATGTTTTCCCTGTTTGCAGTTTATATGGAGGTCGATTGTTTTTCACCTTCACCTTCCATTCTCTGAACTCTCTGGTGTCCTGGTCCAGGGTTATTATTAACTCATTGGTTAGTTTTCTAGCATCTCAGATGCCAATAATTACTTTTTTAAAATGGACATATAATAACTTTATTTGTGGAATACAATATCCTAGAATAATTACATCAAGCTAATCAACATACTTTTGTTTTTTTTAGACCTACTTACTTTTGAATGGTGAAAACATTAAAGTTTTAAGCAGTTTTCAAACATACATTATCATGTGGCCACCAGGATGTGGTAGTAATAGATTACTAAGGTAATTTTTTTCAGACTCTTTTTAAATTTAGAAACAATCATTTTATATCAATCCCTTTCCTGCCCCCCACCCTCCCATTACCCCTCCCACCCCCAACCCTCTCCTCAAGGATGGTGAGATCTTCCATGGAGGGTCATCAAAGTCTGTCACATCATTTGGGGTAGGGCCCAGGCCGTCCTCCCTACTTCTGGGCTGAAATAGTATCCTGCATGAGGAATGGGCTCCCGAAGTCCATTTGTGCACTAGGGGTAAATACTGGTTCCACTGTTAGAAGCCCCATAGACTGCCAGGACTCCTAACTGGCACCCACATTCAGAGGATTTGGTTACATCCAATGCTGGTTCACCAGTTTTACTACTGGGACTGGGGTCTGTGTGCTCTCACTAGATCAGGTCAGCTGGTTCTGTAGGTTTCTTATCAAGGT